AAGAAGAAAAAAAGAGAAAAAGTGCAGATTGTCGAAATTCCTCCTTCCGTTTTCTTTTCAGGTGCCGAGGCGTACAGGGGTGACTTGTCTATTTTTTTTTTTTTTTTTTACTTTCGTTTTCTATTTCTTTTTAGTTTTCGATTTTGTGATTTGTCTCTCAGTTCGGTTTGATTTCCCTTCTTTTCTTCTCGATCTTTTTTCTTGTTTCATTCTTTTTGTAGGCTAAAAAAAGAAAAGAAAAAAAGTATATGCAGTATAAATGCATATATACATATGCATGTATATGTATATATACATATATATACATATATACGTATATGCGTATATGTATACACACACACACACATACACACATGTGTGTGTGTGTGTGTGTGTGCATGTGTATGTATATGTACATGTATATGTATAAATATATATGCAATATATGCATACATATTTCTATAAAACTCATATATGTATATGTACATGTATATGTATATACGTATATAAAATATATATAGATATAGATATTGATTATATGCATATATAATCAAAATAAGATTAATAATTTCCAGAGACGCAGTTGATAAGCTTTAATTAAATCTTCATCAGAATCGTGTGATTATGATGGAGATCCAATCATCTGTGATATCTCTTGCTTTGAAGTAAGATAATCACGTGTATTGCTTTTTTTTTTTTTCATTTATCACAATTTATCTCCTCTTCCTTTTTTTTTCTTTGCCAATTCTTTTCTTTCTTCTTTTTTTTTGCCTTTCTCTTTCTCTAATCGCATTTTGTAAGCCGATTCTCTTTGATTTTTTCCCTCTCTCTCTTATTCTCGCATTTTCTAAAAGCCAATTCTCTCTCAGATTTTCTCCTTTTTCTCCCTCTCCCTTTAAAGCCAATTTTCTCTTATTTTTTTCCTTTTCTCTTATTCTCGTATTTGATTGCTCTTACTTTTGCGTTTGTCGATTTAAGTAGAATTCGAAGATATTGTCAATAGAGCTAATTATTTCGAAATCTCTATCGATATAAATAGCTATTTCAAAGGTATTAATGATGAATCTAAAGCTAATGGCGATACAGGTAATTACTTAAGAACTCGCTATATCGAAGCATTTCGGAACTTTTATAAGTAATTGCATCTAAATCGTCATCGGTTTGAAAATGACTTGAATCGATAACGGTTTCGAAGTAATTTTTTGAATTAAGGTTTCGAAGTAATTTTTTGAATCGATAACGGTTTCGAAGTAGAATCGATAACGTTTCGAAGTAATCGAATCGATAACGTTCGATAACGTTTTCGAAGTATTTTTTTGAATCGATAAAGTCCGATAACGGTTTCGAAGTAATTTTGAATCGATAACGGTTTCGAAGTAATTTTTTGAACGATAACGGTTTCGAATAATCATTTGAATCGATAACTGTTTGGAAGTAGAATCGATTTTCGAAGTAATCATTTGAATCGATAACGGTTTCGAAGTATTTTTTGAATCGATAACGGTTTCGAAGTAATTTTTTTGAATCGATAACGGTTTCGAAGTAATTTTTTGAATCGATAACGGTTTCGAAGTAATTTTTTGAATCATACGGTTTCGAAGTAATTTTTGAATCGATATTTATTATTTTTTAAAATCGATAAATGACTTGTAAATGACTTATAATGACTTAGAAATAATAGTTGTATCGGCAATGACTTAGAAATGAATTATTTGAATCGATAACGGTTTCGAAGTAGAGTAATCACATCCAAACATCGATAAAAGTAATTACTTCAGTACAAGTCTTTCGAAACCGTAACTTATTGGATGAAATTACTTATATCTATTTTAACCTTATCATATATTACTTATATCTTATATCTATAACAGTTTCGAAATCCTTCCTTACGTTGATAGCCGTTTTTAAGTAATGAAACTTTGAAGGAATTACTTATATCATTAATAATTTTGAAATAATTACTTGTACTTATTTTTACGTTCGTTCGAAAGTCTGGCTTCGTAATTTTTCGAAAAACGTAATTCAATAATAATAGTAATAATAGTAATTCAATTCTTGACGATATGTTGCTTTAGTATTTCATATTGCAATATCAAATTTGATTAATTTTCAAATTATCCAGTTTTATTGTATGTGCAATTTTATTAATTTTCCAATTGTCCAACTTTTGATATATAGAATTTTGTTTATATTCCAATTATTCATTCTTATTATATCTACAATTTTATTGTTTTTCTAATCATCCAATTTCATTATAAATGCATTTTTTTTCCAGTTATCCAACTTTTAATATACGATTTTGTTAATATTCCAGATTCCAGATTCCAAAATCTCATTTTACTCTATGTCTAATTCCATTAATATTCCAGATTCCAGTATCTCATTTTCTCATCTAATTCCATTAATATTCCAGATTCAGATTCCAATTTCCATATCTAATTCCATTAATATTTTCCAGATTCCAAGAGATCATTCCCTAATTCCATTAATATATATATTTCATTTATCTATATATCCATTCCATTAATATCCAGATTCCGATTCAAGATTCCTCTCATTCCTCCATGTTTTCCCATCTTTTTTCCTCTATACTATTCCTCCAGATCCAGATTCAATATTCATAATATCTCATTCCATAATTTCCAGATTCCAGATATATCTCATTTTTCAATATCTCATTCCCATCATTCCAGATTCCATTCTATTTTCCTCTATATCTCATTCCATTAATATTCCAGATTCCAGATTCCAAGATCTCATTTTCCTCATATCTCATTCCATTAATATCCAGATTCAGATTCCATTTCCTCTATATCTCATTCCATTAATATTCCAGATTCCAGATTCCAGTATCCAATTTTCCTCTATATCTCATTCCATTAATATTCAGATTCCAGATCCAATACCTCATTTTCCTCTATATCTCATTCCATTAATATTCCAGATTCAGATTCCAAATATCCAATTTTACTCTATATCTAATTCCATTAATATTCAAGATTCCAGATTCAATCCTTCTTACTCTATATCCCATTCCATTAATATTCCAGATTCCAGATTCCAATATCCAATTTTACTCTATATATAATTCCATTAATATTCAAGATTTCAAACCCAATATCCAATTCGTCTTGACCACATCTTGACCATATTGCAAACCGACATCAGTATGCAAGTTGCAACATACAGCATATTGAAGCCCCAATTCGGTATAGATGTCTGGACTTTACAATATATTGGAGTTGACGATAAAATTGTAATGTTAGTTGAATGTTATGATATAAAAATTGTGATGTCTGATTTTTGATGGACTCTAATATATTGAGTTGAAGATAAAATTGTAATATCAGTTAATATCTATTTATGACTGATTTTTTGATGGACTTTACAATATATTGACTGACGATCAGTTTAATATTATACTATAAAAATTATGATGTCGATGATTTTTTGATGGACTCTACAATATATTGGAGTTGAAGATAAAATTGTAATAGTAGTTTAATGTTATGATATAAAGATTATGATGTCGATGTTTTGGTATATGAAAGAGGTTTTATATGTTTAGCAGTCTATCTGTTTATTATTATTATTATTATTATTATTATTATTATTATTATTATTATTATTATTATTATTATTATTATTATTATTATTATTATTATTATTATTATTATTATTGCTTTTCTTAATTTTGAGGATTTTGTTATGCAATTTGTTTGTTAGTTTGTATGTCTGATGAATTTGATTGTGTTTTGTTTTCTAAGTGTGTGTGTGTGTGTGTTTGTGTGTGTGTGTGTGTGTGTGTGTGTGTGTGTGTGTGTGTTGTGTGTGAGTGTGTGTGTGTGTGTGTGTGTGTGTGTGTGTGTGTGTGTGTGTGTGTGTGTGTGTGTTGTGTGTGTGTGTGTGTGTGTGTGTGTGAGTGTGTGTGTGTGTGTGTGTGTGTGTGTGTGTGTGTGTGTGTGGTGTGTGTGTATGTGTGTGTGTGTGTGTGGTGTGTGTGTGTGTGTGTGTGTGGTGTGTGTGTGTGTGTGTGTGTGTGTGTGTGTGTGTGTGTGTGTGTGTGTGTGTGTGTGTGTGTGTGTGTGTGTGTGTGTGTGTGTGTGTGTGTGTGTGTGTGTGTGTGAGTGTGTGTGTGTGTGTGTGTGTGTGTGTGTGTGTGTGTGTGTGTGTGTGTGTGTGTATGTGTGTAAGTGTGTGTGTGTGTGTGTGAATGTGTGTTTGTTTGTGTGTGCGTGTGTGTGTATGTGTGTGTGACGATAAATGATATTTCTGCATATAATGATATTATTAATAGAACTGATAATGATAAAAATAATAGTAACGGCTGAATGTAATGATAATAACATCAATTGTAAAGACGATAATAGTAATTAGTGGACAATGAGATATACAACAACTGCTACTACTGCTACTTCTACAACTTCTATTTCTACTATAACTGCTACTACTATGACTGCTATTAAACTACAACTGCTGCTTCTACAACTACTATTATTATTACTACTACTACGACTACTGCTGCAACAACAACTAATGCTACTAGTACTACTACAACTACTGCTACCACTACTACTATTACTACTACTACAAATACTATACAACAACTACCTACTTACAACTACTTTGCTACTACTACACTACACAACTGCTACTACTACTTTCTACTACTACAACACTACTACTAGCAATACTATCACAACTACTAACTACTACAACACTACAACAACTGCTACTACCAACTATCTACTACTACCACAACTACTACTACTACACTAATAATCACAACTAAATAAATATAAAAAAAAAAAAAAAAAATCTAGGGGTGGGAAATAGAAGAATAGATAAAAATGTCGTGTCGTGTCTACTACTGACAACTCTACAACAACTGCTACCTACCATATTAGCTACTACACCTACTACTACTTACAACTACTATTACTACTACTGAACTACACACACAACTGCTACCACCACTACTACTACCACCATTACAACTACCACTTACTACCATGATAAAA